TACCTGATACAGCTACATTGGCAAAACTTTTTAGTGTAAAAAGAGTGCAGCTGCACTGAACCATTCCTTTTAAGGGGTCATTTAAGGACTGATTACGAGGCTAAATGCAGCCTTCTTGCTCCAGCGCACACAACCTTCTTGTACATTCCAAAAAGGAAGAAGCTAGAGTCACCAAGTTCAGCAGCCTATTCAGAGTGTGGACCGGGATCCACCACATTTCATTTGATCTGCCTTAAGCCTACTGGGGGAACAGTGCCGAATGAAGGAAAATCATGATCTTCTGACAAGTAACAAAAACAGCAGCAGCTTTTCAAAGACAACGGCTTTTGTAACATGGTGGAAAATGTAGGTCAAACACACACATTAGGCAGGGAAAAGAATGTTTAGCAGTGCAATTGACATCTGGAAGATTCACCCTCCCTCATTGCAGGCACGTACTTAGGGCAGCCAGTCACTCACACCATCATGACTGTACTATTTTTAGTCCACCTAGCTAGATGAGAGCTAGGGTGGTTCTGTCTCTTTCTGTTGGAAATTACACCCCCACTTTCAAGTGCAGATATCCCCTCAGACCACAATATCAGATCATGAGGGCTGCTGCTATGTGACTTTCTATCAAAACTACCTCTGGAGCAGGTAATTCAGGATTCTACGCCAGATATACTTTCTATTAACCTTCCCCATAGAGAATAATGCTGCAATTAATGGAGGATTGGCTAGAAAGCCAAAGAGGCTTTTTCACTTCTATATTGCTTTCCACAATGTAGACCTTACCTACAAACCAAAACAAAGAAACACACACGCACGCGCACACACACACACACACACACAAAATGGCTAAATGACAATGTGATAGTATCATTTATAAAACACAAGCTCTTAAAAGCTAGGAAAGAAAGAAATTCAGAACATCAAATTTTATACTGCCCACATTCTCAAGAAATTTATATTTTATCATAGTACAACAACTTCAGCTTGGAATCACCAACTATGGGGCTTCTTATATGCATGTTTTTGCTGTCTAAATATAGTCTTAGACTCAGGATGCTGTTAAACACAGAAATTTCCTATTTATCGATTGCTCCATCTTGAGAGACTACAACAAGAACATTCCAGGCTCCTGGCTGTGTCTCACTGTGACACTTGGCATGAAGTGAAGCGAAGGAAACAGCTACAAGCATGGCTGACAGCTCTGTTTGTTTAGAGCAGGGGTCTCCAAACTACGGCCCGGGGGCCGGATGCGGCCCGCGAGGCCCTCTCATCCGGCCCGTGGAGACCTTTTTGGATTCAAAGGCAGAAGAAGTGAGATTGTTTCAAAACCCATTTGAAGCAGATGTGGCCAGTTGCCCAGATGAACTGCAGCTGGAAGTCATTGAGTTGCAAGCAAATGACCTCCTTAGGGACAAGTTCAAAATAGGACTGGTGGGTTTTTACCAGTTTTTGCCCAAGGAAGACTTTCCTAATGTCAAAACTTTTGCATCAAGGTACCTTTCAATCTTTGGAACAACATACCTGTGTGAACAAACATTTTCAAGAATGAAATACGTGAAGAACAATTTGAGAACAAACTTGTCCGATGATAATCTCAGGTCACTGTTGATGTTAGGGACAACAAATCTAAAGCCAGAAATGTCTATTTTGGCATCCAGGAAACAATTTCACCATTCACACTAATACAGGTGTTCATGTGTAGTGTATCAATGTGTTATTAAATAATAACTGAATAAAATAATATTAAATAAATAATTAAAAACAACATCCATGTTTTGATTGTTTTTTATTTGGACCTCAAGTGTGTAGTCGGCCCCCGAACTGCTGTTTGATAGTTAATGCGGCCCTCGGGCTGAAAAGTTTGGAGACCCCTGGTTTAGAGTATCACCAGCTACAGTCATCATCACTGAATTCTGCAATCCGCTACTGTCCAGTTTTTAACTTGTCAGCCATTTTTAGCTTTTTCCATACATAGCTGTATAAATGACACCCATGCAAAGCAGGGGCTTTGAGTTGTCACAAGTAGTTTACTGGAAGAAGTGTAATGCAGTTTATAATACAATTATATGTATGACTTGTATTTTCCTGCATTGGTTCTGTTTCATGTAAAGTGCTGTGTGTTTCTATATTGGTAGAAGTACAAATTTTGTCAGTATAAGCTGCATCCACACCGAGAGCACATCTACACAGCAGGGCAAAAGTCAAATTAAGATATACAACTTCAGCTATGTCAATTACCAGGGCTCGACAAATTATGGAAAACCCTACTCGCCAGACAAAAAAGGGACTCGCCCCCCCCTCCCCAGAATGTTTTTTTAATGGCATAAATTCCCAATAAGAACAAGAACAGTAATTACTAATAAGTTTATTAATAAATATCTTATAAACCTCTACCTTTTCCCTCTGCTGCCATGTCTCCTCCCCTTGTTCCATCAGCTCCCCTGGGGCCTGCTGTCCCCAAACCCTCACCCTCCTCTGCTGTCCTGACTCCTGCCCTTCTCACTGCCCTCAGCCTTCCTGAGACCTGCCCCCCTCCGCCAGCCCTTCTCTCCCCCCTGTGCCCACTCCTCCAGTAGCCCCACTCTGATCATGTGAGCTATCCCTCCTCATCCCCTCTCCTAACACCTCCCTCTACACACCTGCCCTGCCTCTCTCCTCTGGTGCTGGTCCCTCCCCTGCAGGTGTCTGCCCTTCTGCTTCACCCCCAGAATCCCCTGGCACCTGCACCCTCCTGGTGCCTCCCCCTCCCCTCACTGCCCCTGCCCCCTTTTTCCCCCAGATACCCACCCCCTCACCACCCTCTGCCCCCGTTCCTCTCATGTCCCTGTGCCCTCACACATGCCTTGCTCATGCCCACCCCTTCTTTCAAGCCTTCTCCCAGCATCTCCCCCTCCAGCCCCCAATGCCCTTACCCTCTCCTCTCCCAGCATCACCCTGCCCCCCCCCACACCGACACCTCCCCTCCTGCCCTTTTCCTCATTGTCTGCACTTGGCCCCCCTGGCATTTGTCTCTCCTGCACCCGTCCCTTCTTCTTCTAACCTCCTCCCCTCCCCTCCCATCCCCTCAGCACAAGCCCCTTCCCCATATTTTTCCCCTTCCCTCCCCTCAGCACAGCACAGCCACAGCCCCTTCCCTCCCTGGCTTCTGCCTTCTACTTTGTGGAGTTGCCAGAGCCTTTTTGAATCCGGCAGTCACTGGCCGTGACGTCAGGATATCACGTCACACCGGCGTCCCACCCTCTGGCTCGCGCCCCGCCTCCTCACGCTGGAGCTGCACACAGGCAGCCCAGTGCTGAGAATCGCCACACTTCCCCCTTCCTGGCGGCGCTCTGCTCCTCCACTGGCTGGCGGATCAGATGGGGCCACGCCACCTGTAGTGTGCGCTTTGGCCAGCCCCTCACAACAGCCCACCGGGCCAGTCCGCCCCTGCACTCACCAGCTGGTAAAATCTACTCACCACGGGCGAGTATATTTGTCAAGCCCTGTCAATTACTCAGCTGAAGTTGAAATAGCTTAATTTGGCTTTTGGCGCTGTCTACACAGCAGGAAGTCAAAGGAAGAGCACTCTTCCTCCAACTTCCTTTACTCCTTGTGAAATTAAGGTTTCCAGGAGTCGTAGTAAGAAGTCCTCCATCTCCACGTTATTTCAAAATAATGGCTTGTTGTGTAGATGTGCATTTTGTTATTTCAAAATAACATCAGTGTAGACATAGCCTAAGGATATGTCTACACTGTGGAGCTTTTCCAGGATACTGGAGTTATCCCAGAAAAGCTGTCCCGTCCAAAGAATGCTTCCGTTTTTTCAGAACAGTTTCTGAAAAAGCAGACATGTTCTTTTGGCATCCCTGTATTCCTCATTGTTCCAAAAGAAGAGATTTTTCCCCAACATTTAGCCCCATATAAGTGGGCCAAATGTCGGAAAATCCTCTTCCAAAAAAAGCGAATCACAATTTACATATCTTTTTCTAATAAACAAAAAAAAAAAAAACCCTGCAGTGTAGACGTAGCTTAAGAGCGTTTTGCAGGTATATTATATCAATCTGGCTATACTGGCAGTATGCTCCTAGTGTAGACCTGGCATAGGAGTTCTGAGACCCTAAAAGCAAGGAAAGAAAAATTTAAAGTGCTTAGATTCAGTTAAGTTATACAATGATGACGCTGACCAACCTTAACTGGCTTTTGAAGCCAAGTTTGTCTGGGGATTTCAAAGTTGATCTGTCTACCTTGTTTTTTATTTGGGGAGGATCAATAAACGTATACTTTATTACTCTGGTGACTTGTCCATCCAATTCTCTGTCCCATGGCCTTGTTCCTGGCGCAGGGCTGTATTCCCATGCAGGTAATTGAGGAATGTTCTGTCACTTTTGCTATCCGCTCCACTGACATTCATGCTTACGTGGATGGAGGGAAGTTAAAACAAAGACTTACTAAAGGCAGCTGGCTGTAACTCTGCGAAAGGGGAGACAGAGGTAAATTGGTCCTGTAACACGCCCCAGGGCTTTCTCCAGTCATTTTAAATGATGTGACCCAACAGACCCATAACAGCAAGAGGGGTTACTGGAACGTCCCAATACTACACATGCCGTTTCACCAAAGAGCATTATAGAAGGTCTTGAATAAAAGGCAGAATCACATTGGCCATTAAATGTATACACTAATACTATGTAAGGAACAACAACAAAGAGTCCTGTAGCATCTTAAAGTCTCACAAATGTATTTGGACATAAGCTTTTGTGGGCTGGAACCCACTACCAAATAAATGTGTTAGTTTTTAAGGTGCCTCAAGAATCTATTGTTTTTTCTAAAACAGACCAATACAGCTGCCCCCCTCTGAATTTTGTCACTATGTAAGGAAGGTTCAGGGTGTAGCTGAATTAGTCTGTACAGGATAAACAACAAATAGTCTGGTAGCACTTTACATAGTAAAAAACATGTAGATGGTATCATGAGCTTTTGTGGGCTGCACAGCCCACAAAAGCTCATGATACCATCTACATGTTTTTTACTATGTAAGGAATTATTCATATTGATTGAAAATAACATTTTAAAGTCTGAATCAAAATAGAGATGAAAAACAGGTTCCTCTTCCAGACAGGAGGTAAAAAAAAGTGTGTCTATGTCTGTATGTAAACTAAGCACTGTAGGCTAATACCTTGGGTGCCCATTTACAGACATTAGAAAAGCACTCAAGAAAAATAAGCTATGAGTGATTATCCTGACTTGGAGTACAATGAACTTAGGGGAGATATACATAAGAGACAAAGAAGACATCTCATTCTTCACCTATAAAGTAAATTGGCAATGCATTTACTTTCATGAAAAAGGGATCTCAACTTTGGTTGAAAGTGCTGAACAGGACTTTGGAGGAAAGAAACTTCTTTATACGGGAAGTTAACCTGTTAGTTATGTTTACTCTCTGGAATGAGGGTTAGATTTTGTTTTACATGCAATCACTTCTTTCCATTATCCTTACCAGCTCCTGAATCTCTAGAATGTGATAATACACTTGTTTTACTATTACTACAACTCGGTGCTGTGGTGTTAAGCTAAGTGCTAGCTTTCACTTGAATCTTTCAAGCTAGTGTGTACACAGTTCCTTGGGACACAGGAAATCTAGTACGTCTGTGAAGCCAGCATCAGGGGCTGTATATCACAAAGGAATGCTTCAAAAGAGACTTCTGAGACCTGGGCGCACCTACTGTTAAGCCTATTTACTGCAAGGCAAAGTAAGGGCTGGCCCAGCCCAGAGGAGCGTGCTTGAGGAGCTGACATGCTGGGAGCATTAGAGAGCTGGCAGAGAGGTACGCACAAGCAAGATTCTCACAGTGCAGTGTACCCCTAGAAGTCACAAATGACTGCAGCCACTAGGTGAAGTGATTATCTGATTGAGATGTTGGTCTTGATAGTCAGCCTTTGATTTTCTTTTGCCTTGTTTCTTGCTATTGCTCCTAGCTGTGCCCCCACAGAGACCCCCTAATCCATTCAATTCTTCTTCCTTGCTCGTGTTTTTTAAAAACCATTATTATACTGGTAAGAAAGTATTCTTCCTTCACTCCTTTTAACACTGTTGTGCTCTACAGATCAATGCACACAGCACTCACTGTAATTTTTGCCTGAGTCCCTTGTACACAGCATACAAAAAGTTATGTGCAATTACTCTCTCTCTCTCTCTCTCTCTCTCTTCTCCTCTCCTCCCCCCCCAAATCAGCTCCTTCGATGCCTCAGTTGTGTCTCCTCACTCACATCAGATGAAAATTGACGCTCCTTCCATACTTCACTCTGCATGGCCCTTTCCTACTTTGCAGGCATAATCAAGCCCACGACCATGAAACTGTGGACACACACCATTACCTTTGCACATACGGCCACCAAAATCCCATGACACTCTTGGCAAGAACAGAAGTTTGCCTTCAGAGCCTTGGGCAAAATTTTTCCTCACGATCTCCTCTTTGCAGTGCCTGAAATAAAGATGCTTTAAATGTAAATAGTTGGAGTAGCACTCTAGGATCCTTCACAATGCTGTAGGAATATCAAGTACTATAGCAAATAGCCCTCATCTAACCAATATAATCTCCAGCCAGCAATAGTGTGGCATTCTAATGTGTATAACCTAGTGACCTGTAAATCCAGAGGAGGGTTAGGGACAAGAGAAGTAACAAGCAGAGAGGGCATCATCCAGTTTGTATACATATATTGTGTATGGGATTTTTGGCATTATACAGACTATACATGTAATTTTTCTTTAAAAACCACACACACCCCTCACCCATTCTCTGAGACAAGAAAAACAAATTGCTCTCCAGTGAGGTGAGCTGACATGTTTAAAAGCAGACAGTGTGAGGCGTTACAGTCCTGTAGATAAAATTCAATCACCACTTTTGCAGAGACGATCTCTAGCTTCAGTCTTATTTGCCAAGCATTCTACCCACACACTTCTCACAGGCACTGTGGCCTAACAAGCATGGTTCAGAGGCTGCATTAAGTACCTAGAAATGGTTTGTTCTACAGTCTATTTAAAAAAAAAAAAAAAGTGTCAGTGGAACACTGACGTACTGTGCATATTCTCCTCCCGGCTACCCCAATAGACACACTCGGGCTTCCTTAAGTCTAGATATCAGCCAGCTTTACTCTCATAGCAACATGCTATTGCTCATTTCTCCCAGCATTATTACAGAGCTAGCATCCTGTGAAACACCTCACTAGGCTTTGTTGTTCTCCTTTGTGGCAAGGAATGTTTTTGCCCATTCACCTTTCTTACCAGGCCCCTCCCGTCCTCCTCCTGCCCCCCCACCCCAAGATGAGTGTAGTGTGGCAACTCAATACCTGCCATGACTGTGCATCTTCTTCCTCTGTCCCATGCTTTGGCATAACTCCCCAGCAGCCATGTCAGAACTTCAGATGGACCAAGACCAGATCATCTCACACTAAAGTCTTTTGAGGCTACAGGATGCTGTAGCCTGCAGATCAACTGCTGTAATAAATCTGGGTAAAGTTAGTATTTAATTTTTGGAGGCTGGGGTGGAAATTCATCTGCAACCTGGAAGACGGGGCTTTAGGTAGTTCCAGGGACTAAATGTGCTGTTGGTTCACCTCTACTTCAGGGACCTTTCTGCAGCTTCCTGTTACAATTCTTTGGTTCTTCATTCCTGAGCTTTCCATCCTTACTCCTCCTGCTGCCCAATGCTGCCTCCTGCCTTTCTAGGGCCAGTACAACACCTTGCTGATATTGCGTATTTGTTTTATGGAAGTGGCTACTCTGGGAATTTCATCTGTGAAACCAGATTAGATTGTATGCATTTCTCTAAGGCATTTATTAACCACCCTGATCCCTGCCCAATCCCAAATAAGAAAAACAAACCCCACAACACACACTCCTCTGTATTCTTGATTCAGAGAGCTGGAGCACTGGTTGTAAGAGGAATGAAAAAGAGAACAAGGAAATTCCCAAAATAAAATTGTTCTTGGAAACACAGCCACAGTCTGTTCCACCCTTCTACCCCCCAAGTCACATCTTAAAATACAGAATAAGTATTTGAAAGTTCATGGTGTGAGAAAGGGGATGGCAAAACTTCCAGGGGACCAGTGAAAATGGCACATTCCAGTTTACACAGTCTCCTTCCTCCATCAACCCTACCCCCAAGACAATCAGAACACAATGAACATCAGCAGCAGCTTTACAAGAGGCAACAATCCTCTCTGGCATTAGTCCAGGATAAAACTGTTGATTCTCTCTTTAAATTATAGTGTAGCTGTGTAATATTTATATATATATATATATGCACAGAGCTCTTCAGAGGGGAACATTTCACATTCGCTGTCGATATCTTAGGAAGGCCCACACTGCAGTTATGGCGAGGATCAACCCAGGCACCAAAATGACAGCCAGGGGAATATCACCTGGTTCTCCATCTCCTCGGTGACCAGCTGCGCCATTCTGCGGCTGCAACTAAGAAGAAAGAAGAGCATCAGTGGTAAGGAGACCCATCCCTTGCACCAAGGCAGACAGCAATGCTATGTAAGGAATGTGTGGGCTTCTAAAGCCACACAACTTGGTCATCGGCATACTGTACACTTGGGACCTGGGAGGATTAGAATGCAGGACTTTCTGCTCCCAAAGGCAGAAATCTACAACAACTAGGCTATGTTGCAAATGAAGCGCTGATTAGCATTTTCTTGTGCTTCATTTGCATAATCTCTTCCAGTCCATTTTTGCGTAAAAACAAGTAGGTTTTTTTTGCACAAAACGGATCCGCCCATACTGCTTGTTTTTGCCAAAAACCCCTTGCGCAAAACGGACCAGATGAGATTATGCAAATGAAGTGTGAGAAAATGCTAATCTGCACTTCATTTGCATTGCCTCTTATGGCAAAACTCATAGTGTAGACATAACTCTAGAGTTAGGGCTGCCAGATGGTTTAAAAATATCAAACATCCCCCCCACCGATAAAAAAAAACCCAACGGGGAAAAAAAATTCTGTTGAGGAAAAAAAGAAGGGGAGACCAAAGTTGTTGAACAAAAAAGACCCCCAACAACAGTTAAGCCAAAAAATTAAGATAACAAATAAAATCAGCATGACCCCTTTAAGAAAAGGCTTTTTTGCTGGCAGCAGTTTCGTTTTTCTGTTCCAGCGACATCACAAGCCCCTGAGGAACCAGGTAAGCAGGGTGTGGGGAGGCATTCAGGGGGCCTGGCGGGAGGTTCCGGGGGGCTGGGCCTGGTTGCTGAGTATTTTCGCCTCCTGGCAGGGGGGGGAAAAAACAAACAACCGAACAAAAGACCACCGGACATTTCAGGTGTCTGGTATTTTCTGAATTTTTTATCGGACAGGAGGCGAAAATAATGGATTGTCCGGGTCAATACTGGACACCTGGCAACCCTACCTACAATCCAATGATTCAGGATGGGTCAGCATTTCCTTCATCAACTTCAGTACCAGTGACAGGTGCCAGACTGACAGCAGCAGATTTTGGGTTTCTCTCTGTCTCCAGAGCTGGTGCAAGTTAAGCAGCAGCGACAACTGCACAGGCATCTTGCCTCATACTACAAGTATGCATCAACCCTGGCAAAAACAGGGCTCTACCAGGACTCTCCTACAGTCTGACCCAAGCCATGGCAGAAGGGCCTCAGACAACTGCCAGGAGTCAGCAATACACACCCTGTGCTGAACTTTCAGAGAAACATTGCAGCCTGCATTCCTGAACAGTTCCACAGCATCCATGTGCAGCAAATTCTTCAGGTCTCTGCCGTTTACCTAACACAGGAAGAAAAAAGGAGAACTGCTAGCTGTGGGATCAAAAGTCATCTTTCAGCACTGTGGAACTGCCACCAGTTTCGGTAGTTAGAATTATTCTAAATGCAAGAGTTAATAACTGTAGTAAAGACAATCACCTTGGCTGCGTCTAGACTGGCATGATTTTGCGGAAATACTTTTAATGGAAAAACTTTTCCGTTAAAAGTATTTCCGCAAAAGCGCGTCTATATTGGCACGGATGCTTTTGCGCAAAAAGTGCTTTTGGATGGGGGGGGAGATAGGGAAAAGGATGGACATCCGTGGCTAGGCTAGACGCGATTTTGTGCAAAAAAGCCCCGATCGCCATTTTAGCCATCGGGGCTTTTTTGCACAAAACAGTTGTTCCCTGTCTACACTGGCCCTCTTGCACAAGTATTCTTGCGCAAGAGGGCTTTTTCCCGAGTGGGAGTGTGAAAGTATTTGCACAAGAAGCACTGATTTTGTACATTACAAAGTCAGTGTTCTTGCGCAAATTCAAGCGGCCAGTGTACACAGCTGGCAAGTTTTTGCGCAAAAGCGGTCGCTTTTGTGCAAAATCTTGCCAGTCTAGACGCACCCCTTGTGTTACTGCACAATTAAGCAGAACCTTAATATACAGGCAGTCCCTGGGTTACGTACAAGATAGGGACTGTAGGTTTGTTCTTAAGTTGAATCTGTATGTAAGTCGGAACTGGTACATATTGTAGGGGAAACTCTAGCCAAACATTTCTCCAGAGCTCAGTTTTATTCTCCCACACCTCACTTCCCTCAGTCCTTTATTCTCAAGCTGAGGTGTCTGCTGAGAAAAGCCGCTCCGCGTCTCCTTGGTCTGCTGCGGGGGGCCGCTAGCTTCGCGTCTCCCTGGTCTGCTGGGGGGAAGCAGCTAGTGCGGGGTTGCCTCACCCCGTTTGTAAGTAGGGATCCGATGCAAGTCAGATCCATGTAACCCGGGGACTGCCTGTATTCCAATTATAAAGATCCCATACTGAAACCCCAGATCAAAACATTAACAAACTTTTCTAAATTCCAACTAAACTGGTTTTAATCTTTTAGAGGTGAACCCAAACTGTAGTAATTAGATAGATGGTCTGTCTATCTATCTGTTTGTGCAAGAACTCCCAAACAGTAACAGCTAGGGCCACCAAATTTGGTATGCAGCTTTCTCTTACCCTAACTTAAAGCAAGGTCAGGATTTGGTTGCGCAGGGAACATATGAAGTGGCGGGAATGGGGCTTCCCCTCCTCCTCCCCGAGAGAGGAGGGACGTAATCCTTATACTCACCTCTGGGGGCAGTGAGCAGGGATGGGATACTGCAGAGTGAGCAGTAGGGACAACCACACCAGCATGCGAATGACCGGCTGGGGATGAGGCTCTGCAAGTTTCCAGCCAAGCCATCTTCTATGGGTAAGGTTCCTTGCAGCTACAGGGCCTGGGTATTCCCTTCTACCCCTTTGCTACAGGACCTGGGGGTCTCCCCCAGCTCTGGGCACAAGGGTGTGTGGAGATTCCCTTCCCCACCCCCCGCGCACACTGTAAGACTATGGGGAGAGGCTAGCGATTTCCTCCTTGCTCTCCCCTACCACTTCACAACGAACGTGGAGATTTCCTCCCCCTGTACCTCCTCACTGGACCTGGAAATTCCCTCCCTCTCCCATGCCAATTCACCTGGGGGATTCCCTTCCCCCTCTCATATGACTCCTCATGGGGTCAGGCCATGCCTGCCTTCCCGGCCTCCATGCCGCTCCTCCTTTTAGTTCCCAACAAAAGCCAGCCAGCCATTTCTTGTGTTACACGCCTGAGCAACACTAGATCGGTTAGTTCGGATATTACAGAGGGCGAGGCAGGGGCTTTTAAAATACCATTTATCCAATATAGATATAAAATTGCTTACTCAAGAGCATATCTATCTTATCCAATCCCCTATTTACTTGTCCAGTTTTTGAGGCTGAGTGGTTTGAAATAATAACCACTTCCAGTACAGCCTTATTTTATCTTTTGGAGGAGCAGAGCAAAGTCAAAGGAAAGGAGTTATAACAACATCTGGAAGGGGGAGCGAATAGGACTGGATCCACTGAAAATGAAGTACAAACACTTAGGCTGCGGCTACACTAGCATGATTTTGCACAAACACTTTTAATGGAAAAGGTTTTCCATTAAAAGTATTTGCGCAAGAGAGCGTCTATACTGGCATGTGCCTTTGCAGAAGAGATGTGCTTTTGCGCAAAAGCATCCATGCCAGCGTAGACGCTCTCTTGCGCAAGAAAGCTCCGATTGCCATTTTAGCCATCGGACTTTCTTGCGCATGAAATTGATGTTACCTGTCTACACTGGCCACTTGCGCAAGAGGACTTATCCCTGAGCAGGAGCGTCAGAGTATTTGCACAAGAAGCACTGATTTTGTACAGTAGAACATCAGTGTTCTTGCATAAATACACACGAACCCTCGTGTAAGATGTTCTTGCACAAGGAACGGCCAGTGTAGACACAGCCTTAGGGTGCCTCTACATAGCAGGGCTTAAAATAAGCTACGCAAATTGAGCTATGTCAGTTGTGTAGTTTATTTCGAAAATTGGGAGAGTCTGCACAGCCCTCTTCCTCTGACTTCCCTTATTCCTCATACAATGAGGGTTACAGGAGTTGGAGTAAGAAATCCTCCAGCTTGACTGTATTTCAACATTATTTTGAAATAACGCTAGTTATTTCGAAATAACCTAGTCCGTGTCTATGCAGCAGGCAGTTATTTCAAAATAATGTTGCTGTGTAGACGTACCCATAGTGGTGATGTCATTTTGAAATTGCCTGGAACCCAAATTTCTTCACAAGCACTTGTCTACACTGAGGCATGAAGTTAAAAAATGAAGTTTAAATGTGAATCTGAGATATCCATGGGTTTTTTTTTTTAACTAGACTCCTTCATATCGACATAACTGAAACAGTTCTAATTTCCTGCAATGCTCTGAATGAACTTTATTGAATTTTTAGAGTTAATGGATGTTAATATCTTTGGGATCCTTTGTATCAAAAATGCAACTGTGTATGTGTTATTGTGAAAGTGTACACAACTCCTCTAGGAGGCAGGGAATTCTAATGTAATCCCTCAGTAATTAGCCCTTTGAAGTCACCCCTCCGTAAAGATACACACATACTAGTTCAAAATGGATTGTCCAGGATCCAGAAGGCACAGAAAATGTTTTTGGATATAGTTATTAGTTTTAAACTGGCTTAGGCCCTTCTGCTTGATGCAGCAAATAGGACCCCATGCCTATCGAAGGCTCCTATCCTTAGGGTAGGGTTGGAAGGACTGGGCCTGTGAAGGCCTCATAAGAAAGGGCTGTAGCCGTGATGAATTTGAAAACACAAGGAAATCCTTGGGCAGGATTTAGACAGACTCCTTCAGACAAAGCCCATGTTAGAGTTGGTATGATCTCTGGTAAGGGTATGTATAGGGCTTTTCTAGTGCTTTTATCCTAAGAATAAAGCAGGCTTACACAAAGAAAGCTGTGTGGTACCTGTAACTGTGGGCAGACACACTTTTCACCATCTCTCTGAAGAGATCTGTGCTGGGAATTACACAGACTAGCCAGGAGACTATGCAGTCTGCAAATAGCCAGGGGAGAAGGAAGAGAGATACAAATCTCCACCCAATAATGGCAACAGGTAGGGAGCTGGAAGCCTGAGACTGACTAGATGCCCTTCCTGTATCACTGAATGGAAACAGATGCAGTTGCATTGCACTGCGGCATCTTCTGCTGTCAAATACTGTGGTTTGGGATGTATTTATTCATGCTTAATGACTGAATATTGATTAACAAATTCAAATTCAATCCAAACTAAAAACCTGCATCTTCAGTTAAGGGGCCAAGGTGTTCACTGATTGGCTTTCATGGATAGCTACGCCCTTTTATAGGAAATAAGGCCTTTTTCTTTTTAAAGGGGCGGGGGTGAGACCCATTAGATAAGTTAACACACTCAAGGAGACCCAACCAAGAGAGCAATGCAAGATTACTCCCTATAAATTTCATGGTGCTTTTTCCTGCCCAGTTTTAAATCATTCTAGTCAGGAGGTTATTATTTTTCATAGAAGGAAGTTTCAAAGCCTTGTAAATTTCACAGTCATGAAGTATTTCTTAATACTCAGCTTTGACTACACTATTGGAATAAGGTACATTTTATTTATGTATTTAATTTACACACACACACATACACACAATCACTTTGGTTCAACTATCAAGCTCCAACTTGCATAAGCCACTTAGTTTATTTATAAGCCTAAAACTGATTAGAACAAGCGAGTTTAAAACTATAACTGAACTCCATTAGATACACAAATGCTGTATCCTGTTTTAGCAAACTTCCGTATTCTTTTCTGTTTGTTACAGGGCTATCTTCTTGTAGAGCTCGCCATAGCAGAAGAAAATCTTCATACCAAATCTGACCCAACTTAACCATGATTCCGGCAACCAAAACAGCTTAAGGTACACTTTTTTGGTTACAGTGAAACCTTTCATAGCACCTCCTGAGCAAAAAGTTAGTAACTCTTAACGCACCCACTAGTGTGCAGGGGAGAGAAACCTAGTAGCTGGGAGATGGATTTTCCTCACCCACTGATGTAAGTCATAAATAACCCCAGTAAAGTCAGTGGAGTCACAGTACTGAAACAAAAAATGGGAGGGGAGAGGGAGGGGACAAAATCAGGCCCTTAGTATCATCAAATCTTTGAGATCACATCTGTGTGATGTGCTAGCCAAGAGGCCAAGGAAAGTTCCTGGAAAAGCAAGAAGGCAAAATGGGATGAGGATGGTCTCTGGTTTACAGGATGTAAGCAACTAATTGAGTAGTCAACTACTTGTATTTTCCCCCTATCAGAGTCAGCAAGGGATGGGGGAAAGCAGGAGCCAGTGCTGGGGGGACAGGGGGAGTCAGCTTAAAAGCCTGTTCTCCCCAGCACCTTTTCTGTGGTGCCAGCGGTCCCCCCCACTCCTGCACTGCCTCTATCAGGCTCACAGTGAACAGAGGCTGCTTCGCATCCCGCAGAAAGGGAGCTGGGACCTCCCATGGACAGGGGATGCTGCGGGAGCAGCCTGTGTTCGCAGCACTTACTACATTTAAACTCAAGAGCCACAGTGGGAGTAGCTCCTGGGCCTGGCATGAGCTAGGACAGAGTGCCAACCCTTATCAGCTAATCGATACAAATTGTATTGACTACATGATTAGCCACTTAGAGGATGTCTCATCTCATCTCCTCTCCTTGCTGGCTGAAACTCTGCCTGATCCTCTGGGATATGCTGCTAAGGAAGTGGCTTACCGCTAAAATTTTGTCTCCCTCTTGTAATCGGCCATCAAGAGCAGCAGCCCCATCTTCTTTGATCCGGCTGACGTAGATGCCACTGTCATTGGCAATGTACGGCTGATCCATCCCACCAACGATGTTAAAGCCCAATCCTGAGAGACACAGGTGACAGAAAATGTAACGTAGATAAGAAATAGGTCCAACAGAGATCAAGACAACCTTATAATTAGGGGAAAGTGATCCTAATGCAATACCGTCTGGATGGTGACAACTACAGAAGAACTGTTTATTTCAAGGAAACCAAAAGACTCTACATTACAAAAGTAGGCCATTTTGCAAGTCTGTCTTCATGCACTAACAAATAACTCTCCCAACACATTTTTGAGGTAGGAAGTATTATCCCCATTGTACAGATAGGGAAGCTGAGGCACCAAGAGGTTACCGGCTTGCTCATGGTCTTGAAGCCCAGATCATTCAACCTCTAGTCCTTTATTTAAGATGATTTAATGTTTATAACTCATTGAATCAGGCCCTAGGGTATTTGAGTGCAGAGTTTTACCCAAGGATATCGAGTTCAGACTTTTAACCACTTCACATTTTATGTAAGCATCAGCAGCAACTTTGCAAGCTCTTTGTGCTCTCCCTGTATTCATTTCCTGCTTTGGATTCCAAAGTACAAGGGTATAAAGTCACACCAAAAATTGGAATGGAAATTATGGCCTGATGGAAGCAGTTTGGGTGGGTTTTGTTTGTTAAAAACAAAGTTAATTCCAGAACTCTGGCTGTAACCAGCTGGTGGATTAAAGGGTGTTGGAAGATTAAGATTTGTTGCTTAGTCTAACCCACAAGAACAGGCTGATCTCAAAGGCAGGATCCCCACCGGGTGCTCGGGCACATTCTGTACCACAGTGCAACAAACTCTTTGTAATATGTATGTGAGGAGAGAAATGATCCACGAGCATGAGATTTGGGAGGTCAGGAGCAGATATACCAAACCTCTGAAGGAGGGAAAGGGGAAAACCCATCTCCTTCTGACATGATCCTGTTACTCAGAAGCTACTCCAAACATGGTCTAAAATCAAGTCCCAGACACACACTCAGCCAGGCTGATGTTTTACGCACCGGGTAGAGGAATATGATGCAGGAGACTTGTAAACAGAAAGGCAAATAAAAGCTAGCTTGCCCCACCTTGGAGTTGGCTTTTTAGCTCTGTTACAGGAGATCAGAGGGTCTGGGGTGAGCCACAGTGTTCAGAGAATGCCCCTCTGGCTGATAAATACAGTAATATCAATAGCAGCATCTACTTCCCCAGCTGTGTTGTTCCTTTTCCTGTCAGTCTGAGACAAGTGGTGGAAAGAATTGAATTACTAACAGGGACTGGGAGAAGTGAAGTAGTGATGTTACCCAATGCACTTACAGAGACAAAACCAACAAGCCCACAAACCACTTCCCACGAGGCTAGGACCCTGGGAACAGAAAGATCAGTGTCAGGGTTCACTCTCAGCTACGTGGTCCATGCAACTGCCTAGTAAGCCCTGCACAGGGGCTCTGGGCTGCTACAGCTAGGGAAAAAGCCCCTCGCGCTTGGCCATTGTAGCTCCCTACTGGGGTGGGAAAGGAGATGTGCTCCTCTGGCCCCCAGCAGCAGGGCCAGATTAAGAAAGGATCTTTAAGGGCTGCAACACAGTTCCAGAAATGACCATCTGGGCTGCAGCCTGCCTCCCCTCCCACCCCACGCCCTCAGCCTTCCTTCCCCTCCTCCTCTTCCTATCCACAGGCAAGTTTGTAGGCTTGCATCCCCTGCACAGATGTGCCAGGATGAGCTGAGCATCAGAAGCAAACAGGTTTGCAGGGCTACAGCCAGGTCCCAACACTCTCTTCTCTGCCCCGCAGCCTCACAAACCTGCCTGTAGGTGGAGCAGTTCTTAAACAAAAATTGTGGCTAATAAACAGATTATTGTTGCCGGTGCAGGTTGGACCTCCCTGGTTTGGCACCCTTGGGACCGGACCGGTCCTGAATGAGGGGATTTGCCAGACCAGGGGAGGTGTCTTCCCTCATGTCCCATGCTGAGTCGCTGCCCCCAGCTAGGGTTCCAGCCTGGCCCACAGCTGCCTGTCCAGCTGTGGCTCCCCAAGCCAGAACTTCCTGGCCGTCACTGGCGCTTCTGGTCCCCTGCTACTGCCCAGCCACTGGGGCCCAAACTCCCCACTGTGCCACTCCTCTGCCCCCTCCTCAACACAGGGCTCCCCCTACCCCATAGCCAGACCTCCCTATATCTGGAGTCTGTGGTCCAGCAACATCCATGGTCTTGATGGACCAAGGATGTTGCCAGACCAAAGATTCCTTCCCAGTTAAGGGAGATACAGCCTGTATCTGAATTCGGGATATAAAATCCAGTTTAAGCAGTTAACTGGTTAAAAATAACATTTGACTAGCTAACTGCTTAAATGGAGGCAGGCATCCTGGAGCAGTCAGGTCGGATCCACGGCAGGCAGGGACTGCTCTGGCTGGGGCTCCTGCAGACTGCAGTGGGCCCCTCCAGGCAGGAGCAGCCCCCCTGCCAGCATCAGAAGGAGGGGTTGCACCAGCCCCCGCCAGTCAACCATAACCAGTAAGTATCACCCAATAAGGGTGATGCTGACTGGTTAACCAGGTCACATCCCTAATCTGAACCCATCAACACTTGTAATCAAAGAAAATAAAAGTGTTCCTATTAAATCACAAGTTGTTAATATTGAGGTTGCTATTAAGCAGTATCTACTGTATTCCGAACAGGTGCACATTTCTCAGTTCTCTCTTCTTTGAGAAGGAAGAGAGAGATTCCAAATAGGGATGTAAAAGGTTAACCAGTTATGCTTACCCAGCTACTGGCATGCTTAACCAGTGGCCTGGGAGGAGGGGGCGGGAGGGGAGAAATGCAGCCCCCCCTTCCATTACAGCCTGGCCAGCAGGACCCCAGTAGACCAAAGAAGTTCCCCACTTCAGTGGAGCAGGATCCCAGCTAGCCGGAGCAGTGTCTCACCCGTGGCGTGGTGGGACCCTGCACAGCCAGAGCAGCTCCACCACCTGCAGAAGGCTGGAGGAGTGGGTTGTCCGGACCTGGTTAACAATTACATTTATATCATTTAACCGGTTAACTTTTTAAGGGGGTATTTACTGAAAAACTACATTTTTGTGCAATGCCAAATTATTTAACAGCTTCATCTTGCAATATTTTACCATTTGGCATTAGGGATGTAGTATAATGAGAATTATATTTTTAAACACATCATTCTGTCATTGTAAATACTTCTTTTTGTTCAACAAGCTTTTGCCAGAGACATTCTACACCAGGGCTACTCAATTTTGGAAGCCCCGGGGGCCACACTGATACTCACAGCACACGCTGAGGGCCACAACTTAAGTATGGATGCATATACATGCAAATAGCTTCTTTCACACTGATGGGTATGAATACAAAGATTAAGGCAAGACTACACAACACACAGACCCCATTTAAGTAAGTTCTTCTGATATTAATAAAATGCAATAGTTACCCGATTTCCACCCATATGGCAGTACTTTTAATGAGCAATGACAGTCCAGGAATGTAACTACTAAAACGCATATCAACAGAAGACCATTATATTGTCTCCTTTTTTGTTTTGGCCGCATGTTGAGCCCCACGTAAACACAAACTACACTGTGGGCTGCAAACAAACAGGCCATGGGCCACATGTGGGCCGCATGTTGAGTAGCCCTGTTCTATACTGTAACCATCTTAACAGTTTGCAAGCATAGTCAACATTCATATTTCAAAAAGGATTAAGCTGTACAGGCATCTGCACTTTGCCAAATAAGTGAATGCCACACTATATGGATTAATGCTTTGATATTACGAGGAAATGAAGACACCATGGATCCTACAGATTATCTTGCTGTATAACTCCACCCCTTATAAGAAATATCTCAACAATCATAGATAAGAGCCAGAAGCTACAAGATAAATACACCAAGTGCTAGCAAATAAATTCAGGTCACAATGTTCTCTAAAGTACAAGAATAACTGCAAGTCAGCAGGAGCCCCAAGGCACAAATCTAGCAAGTTAGAATTTGATCAGCAGGTTGAATCATGCCCTGATGCTGACACCAAAGTAGCAATGCTAAGACATCTGAAGCAGCACAGGGATAAGTAGTAGCCTAGCAACTGTACACCAGGCTCTCACACACCTGAATTGAACTGGATAATTCAACAGATATTGAGTCTGTCACCTTTTGACCATCAGATTGTACATGTTCAAGGACGGGTACTTAGATATTAACGTTATGAGCAGAGCACAAAGTCCTGGACAGAAATAGTAGATAGGTTAGTAGTGACAAAGTTGCCACTGTCAATGAATAAGTCAATGAACAGATTTATGTGAAATACTCAGGTCACACCTACCTTCAGTAGGGAGCAAAGTTCACTGTAACTTTTTCCATCCGCTGGCAGAATAAGTGTTATGTGCACCACAAATAGAAACAGATGCTGCCAGCTGTGAGCACTCTGCTAATCACCTGGATGGCATTTGAATCTCTCCTGGGTGTCCGCCCAAGAGCGCAGCTTACGGGAACTCCGATAGGGGGTTGAAAAAGTCTTCTCTCTCTCTCCAATTTAAAAAGATACAAAGTCAAATCCAAATATCTCTCTCCTACTTTAAGGAAATCCAAAAGAGAGTGGTGCTCATGAACTGACTTTTTTCTGGTTTTCCTAGGCTCTGTTCCACACAATGAAATGTTCTTATGCCTGTAAGATGGTACCACAGAGAAATCAAGGGAAAAATATTTTGAAGTGTTCAGAGCCCCTAGCAGGGGAGCACAGGAAAGCAAGGGGTTGACTGCAGAGACAGAAGTACCACCTTACTGTAATCAGTCACTTCAGTTAAGATCACAGCATACCAGAAGGACAAGATGAGGGAAGTTTTCCCTACTGCTACCTACGCAGTACCTGTTCTAGAGATAATTAGTGGGAATGTTTAAAAAACAAAAACATTAAGAGCATCTAGACTACATCCAGTTCTGTCGACAAGCCGCTTTGTCGACATAACAGTGTGGACGCAAAGGACAATGTAGATGCAATAATGCCTTCTATCGACAGAACTCTGTCAATAAAAGGCGTTATTCCTCATAGAATGAGGTTTACATACGTCGACAAAACTGCTGAAACCGTAAGTTTTTATTTGCTTTACAGAATGAATTTTTAATTGCATAGAGCCTGGATGTCCCATTGACAGCACTCAGGGCTGTAATGGAAATACCACTCTCTGTAGCCTCTGCCACACCCCCTTTTCCCACCTTACTATCCATAACTATGCTCATGTAATCTTTTGCTAGCCACTTAAGCTACGCACCAAGCAGCAACACAAAGCTGACAGTGTGTCGCACTGTCACCCTGACCCAGATTTTCAGAAGTGGCCACTGATTTTGATTGTGTGTCTATTTCAGAAATGCAGTGCAACTGGACCTCTAGCTGAGTTACAGGGAATCTGAGGATACTCTGCTCCTCTGAGGGACTCACCTGTGTTGTTTTCCCAAAAATCTGAGGGTACTTTTGAAAGTTCTGGGCACGGACATTCCCACAGCAGACAATCATGTTTTGCTTCAGTATATACACCACATACTTTATGCTACCAGTATGCGGAGTGTATTAAAATTGCCAGCTTTCCCAACCAGACGGGCTGGACACCATTGCTGCAAAAGGCATTCAGTCTGTCCAGTTGGGAAAGTTGGCAACCCTAATTCAGTTTCTTTAAAATAAAGGCTGAAAGTTAGAATCCATTTCAGCTCCACAGGTACAAGGGGCAACCATCAGCATGCCAGAATATTTTGTACTACAGCCTTAGGTTTGGTGAGCCATTGTAAGTGGAAAAATTGTACCTCGAAGAAAGAGAGACCTGTTTTTTATCCTCAGCTGGAGGATGTCATGGATGAGGACACAAGAAACTACAGGGATGTTTCTAACAGAGGACTATAGTCAAGGGGATAGAAATTATTGAGGCATTATGTGCGAAAAAGTGCAACTGGGTGGAGCCTAGGTTACAGCACAACCAACTACAGTAACGTGATGTATAGGTGTTAAAAGGAGGCTATGCAACACTGAAAATCATGTTGGGGAACTCAATCAATTTTCACCCATCAGACAAGTCTACACTACAAAAGTGTGTCAACAGAATACAGCATACAATGCAGGCAACTATTAAATCATGTGTGGGTGCGCGCTTGGCTCCTTGCCTCTGCAGAGCACATCCTCACTAGGATCCATTGTAACGTGAGCGTAGGGCACTGTGGGATGCTCCTGAGAAGCTAATTAACAGTCAACATAAGCAACACAATGTCTACACTGGCTTTGCATTGACCACGACTTTACACCGCTTGAGGAGGGGGGATACTTACATCCGCAAGAGCCAAATTTAAGCAGAGACATTCCAAAAGCTGACAGATGCAAGACATCTTACAGCAACCTAATGCATAGCTTAGGCCAGGCCTTCCTCAAGACAAGCCCAAAGGCCTGGATTTTTTAGAAGTATTTAACCGTTGTTGCATTCAGTGTTGTTCTAACTGATTCAAGGAATCTAAAAATCTCATTTCCAAATGATGCAGGCATTTAGGACTAATTCACTGCTAGATGCACTACCTTACAACTCTAAGACTGTTCTCTCCCCCCCATCCTTACACCCTTCTCTCCCCCCCAATTACTGTCATTAATTGCTTGGTAGTACAAATAAAGTTATACAACTGCTCAACATCCCCACTTCCCTTTCAGCTTCACTTTCTCTTGTTGGTTTTTTAAATCTACTAGATCTCCCTTTAAGGGGAAAACCTCATTATAGTTTAGAGTCAAACATCTGGTTAAACCTCAAGTACCCAGGTTGTTGTTCTTTTTAAATAGCAAAAACACACTTGTGTTGGCTGGGAAGAAAATCCAGTTGCATTTTCATTCTCTGCCCCCACCCTCCTTTTAATTATGGAGATGTTATTTATAAACTCTTTTAAGCTGCAGCACAAGCCAACTCCACTGTGAAAGGCCAATATAACAGGGCAGTAAGCAAATCCCATTATAGGCATCTGAAACAAAGTGCACCGCAGCGTTAACCCCTCCCCAAAAGCATCAAGAGAAGCTACAAGTGCGTTTTAAAAGAAAAGTTGTACGGATTTTAAAGCCAAACAAGATTCCTTCTGCGTGGGTCTCTCTGCCACGCTGAAGGCACTTGCAGCTGGCTCTGTTGCTAGCAGAAACTAGTAGCAGGATTATACAGGCCTCGGGCCGGATCTTTCCGGGCAGCTCTGAAGACAAGTCAGTTACACTGAGCCGGGCTCCACGCCAGATCAGACGAGCCCAGATTCAGCAGCCCAAGCTCCCACTCCCCGTCTTTAGCTCCGTACCTAATGGCCCTCTGGTGAGATTGATCACTTCCTCCGAGAAGCCACAGCTCACGCCTCCATTCATGGCGCCGTTTTAAAGCCCGCTCCCCTGATCCGCCTGCCGCCCCCCGATGCCCCTCCTCGCCGCACAGCTGAAGGTGAAATAATCTCCCGGGCCTGAAGCTGCAGCACTTTCAGTTTCGTCTGCCTCTGACCGAGGAGGCGAGGGAGGAGACCCTGCTGAGATCTCTGGGATTTGTAGTCTTTTCTGGACTTACCGCTCAGCTTCATCCTTGCTGCTTTCCTTCCGCAGAGCCCCCACCCATGTGTTTTGTGGGGTAGATTAACAGGCATACTGTATGTACCAGGATCCAAACCAAAACTACCTTGACAAAGCCCTGGCTGGGTTGATTTAGTTGGGATTGGTCCTGCCTTGTGCAGGGGGCTGGACTCCATGAGCTCCTGAAGTCTCTTCCAGCTCTATGATTCTTTGATACCTGCAAAAGAAAATACAAGGAACCTACCTCTGGATGTAGTGCAGAGCCGGATTAAGGAAGGTTGGGGCTAGCCGGGCCACTGCCCGGGCACTGACCTATGGGGGGTGCCGGATTGCAGCTGTAAGGTGTGCTGTGGGCCGGGGGGGCGGAGCCACGCATGCATTGCACGCCCACTGCCCGGGGCGTAGGAATGGCTCGAGCTGGCTCTGATGTAGTGGTAAATTATCCCAATATTCCCCATCCTGCCAAATTAATACTTTTTCATTTGAACCCATTATCTATCTAATCTATCTCAATCTAGATCTAGATTTTAGGGAGTTTGTGTGTCTTGTCTGTCCATGAGTCCCTCTGTGAGTCCATTTGTTCAAGAACTCCTTAATGGTAAGAGCTAGGACCACCACCTTGGGTATGCAGCTTTCTCTTCTCCTAACTTAAAGCAAGCTCAGGGTTTGGTTTTGCCAGAAAAATGGGATGTGCCTGGAATGGGATTGTTTTCCACAACACAGAAAGGGGAGAGGGCAGATAGGAGGAATAGTTATACTGCAGAGTGACCACAGGGAGGTGGCTGCACCAGGAAGAGAGTGGCCAAGTGGGGCCAGGGCTTTTCATGTTGCCAGCCTCTGGCCCAGGTAAGTGGATCCCCTGCCCCAACGCCCTCCCCTCTGGCTCTTGGCTGCAGTGGTGCACAGGGGAGCCCCATCAGCCAGCTGCCCCATCACCCTGGAGGAGCCACAGACTGGGGCCATACAGCAGAGCCCTGGTTTCCCCTGCAGAAGCTGCAGACTGGGACCAAGCTGCAGAGCTCTCTTGCCCCTCCCCCACCGGCACGACAAGCTGTAGGCAAGGGTCAGGGGAGGCACAGCCATAGCTGGGCCATGCAGCCCTGGCCTTCCCCTCCCCTCCAAGAAGTTGGCAGCCTGAGTTAGGCACTGCAGCCCCAGCGCCCCCTCCCAGAGGAGCCAGGATGGTTGGCAGCTTCAGCACCATCCTCATTGCCACAGGAGGCCCAAATGAGCCCCCTGTAGCCCCCAGCCCTCTGCCATGACTCCTGCACCCCATCCATTGCTCTGAGCCCCCACACCCAACACTCTGCCCTGGGCCCCCTCACACCTCCCAGCCCCCTGCCCTGACTCCTGCACCCCTACTCCTTGCTCTGAGTCCCCTCCCACCTCTGCCCTGACTCCCACATCCCCCATACCACCAGCCCCCTGCCCTTAAGGACCCAAGCAATGCCAGGTGAGTCCTCTATTTTTAAATATATGTATTGGTTGTCTTTCAAAAAATCAATGAATTAAGCAATTTTATACATAAAGAGGCTTAGCAAGTTTCTAAAAAGGTTTAATTTTGTGATTTTTCCCAAGCTTTACAAACATTTCAGAATCTTTATTTTAATCATTGTTTTCCATAGGGAATTTTTTTTTAAATATGCATCTAAATTGAAGGCTTTGTTTAAAAAAAACAGTAAAGATATTTGTTTAAAGAAATTCTGGGATAGTCCACAAAATATTTAAAATAATTTGCCAGAGCCACTCAGAGCTTGAACCTCAAAAGCATCAAGTTCTATTCTAAACCTACAACCTATAATCTTCAAATAGATCCCAAGTGAAATAAAATTAGCTCTCCTCCTTAATTATGATCAGAAGCTTTTCAAAGTCAGGTTCAAATCCCGCAAATGAATATATCTGCGTGGATCCTTGCCCCAGAATCTGGACTTAAATTTGTTTTTCTCCAGCTCTTGCAGCCAGATAAAAGGCTTGAACCGTCTTTCACTTAAAGCCCAAATCGGAGCTCACTGCAGCTCTGGCCCCATTCTATTCAATTAGTTTCTACTTAAGCTGTTATTCTGGGCCAATCACTACTATTGTTAATTATTATTGATCTGTATTATTGTGGTGTCTAGGAATCCCTGTCATGGATTAGGACCCCGTTGTGCTATATACTATACAAACCTGGAGCAAAAAGGTGGCCCCTGCCCCAAAGAGAAGAGACAAAACAGAAAGGACAGCAAAAGGAAACAGAGACACCATACAGGTTAGACCTCACTGGTCCAGCACCCTGAGGACTTTACCAGTCCCAGATGAGGTTTTTTGCCAGACCGGGGGAGGTCATATACTGCTCCCCTCTCCCTCCCTCCCCCCCTCCAAGCCCGGACTGGCCATTGGCCTCCTGGCCATCCCCATCCCCTGCCAGCCCTGCCAATTTCCCCCAATACTCCATTAAGCCAGGCAGCCCAGCCCCTTGCGCACCAGGCTCCTGGACATGCCTGGAAGCCCTGCTGTGGCAAGCCAGGCTCATGGATGTCCTGGGCTCCTTGACACACTGAGCAGCCCCACTGCAGCGCACTGAGCTCTTAGCCCTGCTAGGCAGCCTCAGCACTGGGTTGTGCCTAACAGTCCAGCTGCGGTGAGCCAGGCAGCCCAGCCTTCTACTGGGACTTTCTAGTCCTGGAACATCCTTGGTCCTGCTGGACCATGGATGTTGCTGAATCCGGAAGTCCCGGTTAACAGATGTTCAACCTGTAGTATCATACCACAGTTTATGAATCTACATAGGTTTTAATGAAAAATTGAATAGAGTGCGAAAATATGGAGCTTTTAAAAAAGATTCCATTATCTCTAAGCCCCTTAGAAAAACCATTGATTTTTTCAAAGCAAGTTGCTAAACTTGCTCTATTTACTGTAGTTTATTTGTTGGTTTACTACTTCTTAGTGTTGCTTTCTTTAATAAAATTTTAAATAATTGATAACGCATAAATACCATCCTCCTCAGAAAAAGTACCCCTGTGTCTCTAAATTAAGCTTAAGAGGGTGACTGGTGGGCTTGCTTGTCCCTTTAACTGAGACTTCCTCAAGAACCAGAACCAATGTCCTTCTTGATTTCCTTTTGATGTTATGTAAGATGAATATCAATGACAGTAGGAGTTTGAGTGGACCCAAGAGAGGTATATAATTATGCAAATGAGAAGCTCATAAAACAAGAAGGTCATGGAAATGTTAATATAATTAAGAAATTTAATCTTTAATGTGTTACAATTAAACATTCCCCTCAGAATGTTGCTTGAACACAATATGAAATGGCACTGGAGATGAGTGGTAAGAGATAACATTTTCAGAATTAGCAATAGTTGTCCCATGGTGGGGAGGTCTCTGTGTGCTGCTCCTGCTGTGGAGTCCTGGGAGCAGAGCATGGAGATACAGACACACACACACCCATCCTGTGGACCTTAGCGACATATCAGCAGTCACGCAGAGCAGGCAAGCAAGCAGCAGGCAGCTGCTCCAGCCAGCCCTACTGCATTGCCGGTGGTGGCAGCGGGGGACTCCCTGGGCTGTTTGAAATTGCCTGGAGGAGACAGACCGGTGAGGGTATGTGTGAAGAAGATTGCATGGAGAACCATACCCTGCTAGGAGCTGCTGCAATAGAGGGCTGTCCCAAGTAAGTGCAGCACCCCTACTACCTCACCCTACACACCCCACTCCCTCCCAAAGCCCCCCTTCCCTATCCCGCTTCCATCCCCAAACTCCAACAATCCTCAAACTCCCTCCCAGAGCCTACACCGCTCATTCCCTTCTGCAGCCCCATCCTCTGCCCCAGCCTACAACCTGCATCCAGACTCCATCCCAGAGCCTCATCCCATGCAGCAACCAAATTCCCTCCCAAAGCCTGCATCCCTCCCCACCCAAACTCCCTCTTCGAGTCTTAGGTAGATGGAGTGGGGGGAGTTTGAGTGGAGGATGGGTGCAGGCTCTAGGCATTCTGGACGCCATCAACATTTCTGTGTATTGCAACCATCCTAAAATCATGACAATTAAACATTTAAATCAGATTATACTATATTTATTATCTTATTTTAAGCAAGTGCCTCTTTGTGTTTCTGTGCAAAATTGAAGAAATAATGAAGAGACAAGCACAAGTCCGCCGCTGAAACTGACGAGCAGCGGACTTGGGGAAGCGGCTGAGCAGAGCAGCTGGGGTGCTGCTGGGTTAGTCCCGCAGTGTCGCTCAGGTGAGGGGCGGCGCTGCGGGACCAACCCGGCAGCACCCCAGCTGCTCTGCTCAGCTGCTTCCCCAATTCTGCTCCTGCCGCTTGCAGCCCCAGCTGGCCTGTCGCCGGCAGCTGCGCGGGGCTTCCCCCGCCCCCCCGGAAAACGGCAGAGGGATCGCCCCTCGCTGCGCCATTCCCCACCGACAACCCCCCCCCCCCCCCCGCATCGGTCGCAGTGCGAGTCCCAGCAGACCCGTCACAGCCCCTCCACCGGAGTACCTCCTGATAGTCTGGCATATCCAATAATCCGGCACCCCCTGGGTCCCAAAGGTGCCGGATTATTGGAAGTCTACTGTATTTGCTTTTTTGACTACCACTGCACACTGAGTGGATGTTTTCAGAGGACTATCCACAATAACTATATCAACTTCAATGGAGTTGCATAGTTGAGGGCACTGAAGGCACTATTTAGTTCACTCTGAGGCAATCTTAAGTGTATAGAAATGTGGGGTGATAGCACACAAGTAGGTCTCAGGCATATGGGTTCTACTATGATGTTTGTAGTATACTGTTAACCAACAACAGCTAGGTAGGTAGCAAGCCATACTACTACTGATACATTTAATTATGCAAAAAACAAAACACAGAACTAGACTTTGCAAAAAAAAAAATGTTATTGTTGCCCCCCTCTATGCCACACTTCATTTAGGGTTGCCAACTTGACCAAATGGACTGGACGCTATTCACTGTACAGGCAGTCCCCGAGTTACGCGGATCTGACTTACGTCGGATCCGCACTTACGAACGGGGCTTTCTCGCCCCGGAGCTCGCAGGCAGCGGGACCGCCTGGAGCGCAGCGGTCCCGCCACCTCGACCTCCGGGGCGAGAAAAGCTGCTCTGGGTGCCCCTGGTCTGCTGGGGACCGTCTCCAGCAGACCAGGGACACCTGGAGCAAAGCCGGGGAGGCGGAGGGGTCCCGCGCCTCTGAGGCTTTGCTCCCCGTGTCCCTGGTCTGCTGGGGGGGGGACGCAGCTAGTGCGCCCCCCCCCCAGCAGACCAGGCTTTTGTTGTGGACCCTGGGGTAGAGCAGCTGGGGTGCTGCCGGGTTGGTCCTGCAGGGACCTACCTGGCAGCCCAGCTGTTCTGTCCCAGGCTCGAGATTCAGCCGCTGTTGAAACTGATCAGTGGCTGATTCCAGGAAGCTGGGGGCAGAGCAATTCTGCCTCCAGCTTCCTGTAGTCAGCCCCTGGTCAGTTTCAGCAGCAGCGGCTGAATCTGGAGCCAGTTCCGACTTACATACAAATTCAACTTAAGAACAAACCTATAGTCCCTATCTTGTACGTAACCCGGGGACTGTCTGTATGTGGTCTTCAACATATATTGTTGGCTCTTTGTGAAAGGGATTTTTTTTTCGAAATGAGGCCCAGATCTGGGTGGAGGCTCTAGGCAATACTGTCAAATAAATACATTAACAATAAAAATAGGATCCCTGGATGCTATTCCTAATGGTACTACAGACTGCTTGTATAATTTGGGCAAATCACTGCACCCCTATGCCTCAGTTTAACTATTTGTAAAGTGGATATTACAATACTTCTTTTACCCCACCACAGTGTTGAGAATAAGTTTACTGAGGGAGGAAGGGGGGGAGCTGATAATATAGGCTGTGTCTAGACTACATTCCTCTTTTGACAGAGGGATGTAAATTAGACATTTCAAAATTGCAAATGAAGCGAGGATTTAAATATCTCATGCTTCATTTGCATAATTGTGTCATGACGCTTTTTCAAAAAAGCACTATTTTGAAAATAAAACCACGGTCTAGAAGCGGTTCTTTTGAAAACGGCAGGCTTTTTTGAAAGATCCTGTACTCCTCAAAAAATGAGGTTTACAGAATCTTTCAAAAAAGCCTGCAGTTTTCAAAAGAACAGAGTCAAGACCATGGTTTTACCTTTGAACTAGCGCTTTTTCGAAAAAGCACCATGATGCAATTATGCAAAAGAAGTGCGGGATATTTAAATCCCCACTTCATTTTCAATGTGTCTAATTTACATCCCTCTGCTGAAAGAGAGATGTAGTCTAGAGACACAGCCATAGTGAAGGGGTCTTAATAGAAACGTAGATAGCTAGAACTTCTCTTAAATTCAGCAAAAGTTCCATGTGTTACAAATTTATGGAATCATGTCCCACTATTAAAAGACCTATGGAGCAAGGACTCTGAGACTCATTCTTCTCTCATTTATACTTGTGCACACTCATTGACAGTTATTACTATTGAGAATAATGCCAGGTCTACAATAGTAGAAAAAATCAGTATAAGATACACAATTCCAGTACAATAATTGCGAAGCTGAAATCAGCATGCATTACATCGATTTTGTGAGATGGCCCCACAGTGGGAGGTCAATGGGAGTAACTCTCCCATTGACTTCCCTTACTCCTTGCGACTGCAAGTACTGTGGTTGACAGAGGAGCCCTCAGCATTCCATTTAGTGGGTCATTATTAGTGATCATAGAATCATAGAATATTAGAATTGGAAGGGACCTTGAGAGGTCATCGAGTCCAGTCCTCTGCCCTTACGGCAGGACCCAGTACCATCTAGACCATCCCTGATATATGCCTATTTAACCTGCTCTTAAATATTGCCAGAGATGGAGATTCCACAACCTCCCTAGGCAATTTATTCCAGTGTTTAATCACCTTAACAGTTAGGAACTTTTTCCTAATGTCCAATCTAAACCTCCCTTGCTATCATCAGAGGCCAAGTAGAACAATTTTTCTCCCTCCTGCTTGTAACACCCTTTTAGATACTTGAAAACCTCTATCATGTCCCCTCTTACTCTTCTCCTTTCCAAACTAAACAAGTCCAATTCTGTCAGTCTTCCCTCATAGCTCATGTTTTCTAGACCTTTAATCATTCTTGTTGCTCTTCTCTAGACCTCCTCCAATTTCTCTACATCTTTCTTGAAATGTGGTGCCCAGAACTGGACACAATCCTCCAGCTGAGGCCTAATCAGTGCAGAGTAGAGCAGAAGAATGACTTCTCGTGTCTTGCTCACAACACTCCCATTAATGCATCCCAGAATCATGTTTGCTTTTCTGCAACAGCATCACACTGATGGCTCATATTTAGCTTGTGGTCCTCTATGACTCCTAGATCCCTTTCTGCATTACTCCTTCTTAGACAGTCGCTTCCCATTCTGTTTGTGTGAAACTGATTGTTCCTTCCTAAGAGGAGTACTTTGGATGCAAACAAGTATCCAAGTACAGGGTGGATAACCCTCTCGGTTACATGTGCACCTTCCCCCCCCCCCCCCCCCTCGACCAGCTTTTAAGTTGGTTCCCCAGGCGTGCCAGCTCCCGCAGTACTGCCTCCCCCCTGCTGCCTACCAAAGTGCTCACCATCCCTCCCCCACACATGTAAACATGTAACGTTTGAAAAATTCAGTGGTTACACGTTTACACTAGTAACTACATTTTAACATCCTTAGTATTTACTAGACCTGCTAAATCGAACCCTGGAAGATTGATTGCCAATGAGTTGATCCTCCAGTAAGTAGATATGTGGCCTAAGTCACCCAGTGTTTCTGGCCCAACTAGGCACAGAAGGTATTGGAACATTCCCAGAAAAGGATATTTTTGTTAAATGTCAAGCTTGAGGTCAACTAAGCAACTGATCATTTTCCAAATATTCAGAAGTTTATCAGCTGTGAACTTGGAAGTCATGTCCCTCTGATCCCATGCAGTGAAAATCCTATTCTTGTTACAGTGTTGGCTACACAACCCTTAAAGTGCCTGCTGAATGTTCCTGGTTAGAGTCATAGTCTTTCTCCTCCTGAACATCTGCTACTGGTCAGGATTTATGGTCACTTTTCCACCCCCTAAACACTTGCATCAGACCGGAAGGCCTACTTCTCACTTATGTTTGAGTGAATCACTTCAGTGAATTAATATAAAATGCCAGGGAATTTTTTTTACTTTTATCCTTTATTGTGTGTGGAAGTGAATTGTTCAAAACATTTCCTCCTCTTAAAGAGTAACTTTGCACAACTGTTGAGTCTGTTCGTCTACCAATAAAATGGAGATACTTTCCTACTTCACAAGGCATTGTTCAAGTTTAGGTTTGTAGATGAAATGTAGATGAAAGGGGCTATATGGATAACTCTTAGTTTTTTCCTAACTCCCTGAGTTTAGGCACAGATTAAATCCTTTAGGACATCATTTTAAAAGGCTATTTCAATGCATACAAACTGAATTTATTCTTAAAATAGGTAAATATATTGTTTATATATTATTTAATATTACATAAAATCCAATGCTTCCTGCATAGACTCTAACCTAGGTTTTGACATGGTAGCAGGTTTTACATGTGAACTAGCGTGGACTCCCTGACTGGAAGCACCTGTTTGCTGAGTTGCATGGAATCTAGCCATGGATCTTCTAAACCATCCCATTAGTGCAGTTTTATAATAGACACCAAACCCAATCCCAAGAGCAGCAGCAGCAGCAAGTAATATTAGTGTTGCGATAGCACCTCCCCCAAGAGCCTTCACACGTGGAGGTGGTCCACTATCAATGCTCCCTCCATATCCTTTATCTTGACAGTATGGAGGGGCCCAGCCATAATCACAATGACAGTTTTTATGACTGTTGCATATTCCTCTCTTATGGCATTTTGTTGCATTACAGTCATTATTCAGGAGTGACAAATTGACACAACTCATGTTAACACAAATCTTGTCAGGGCCACAAGATGCACCATCTCTCACTGCTCCAATATCATCTATTTCCATCCCATGATGATAATCTGTACCCCAACACCAGTTACTATCAACAGGAGTTTGAAGTATGGTACTATGGTCCTGTAAAGATGGTATTATTTTCTTGTTTTCACATTGGACCCTGCCACATAAGATATCATCTGCCTGACATTTCTTATATTTAGCATTCATCTCTCTAGTAATACCACAGTTGCCAAACCGGTCACCATGCATATTCAATTTTTGGAAACAAGCTAATGGAGCAACTATTGCTTCTTTACCAAAAATCATTTTGCACTGTTGATCATGGCTAGAGCAGTTTCCACCATAGCAATAGGCACCCTTCTCACATGGAGCTCCATCTTGCACATATACATCCTTCTGGCACCACTGTGAAGTCCCATTGCAATATTCAGGAAGGTCACATTTATTATTACTTTTTCTACATAGTGTCCCTGCTGGAAGTATCTGACAGTCTTCACAGCATTCTCCAAAAGCACAAGTTGCACCTGCACTCAATGTACAATTGGATTGGCAACAAGGATCCTTTCTACAATTGTATTTTGAGCCACAGTCACACTGCTCTCCACTTTCCACCATCTGGTTACCACAGTATTTACGTGTATAAACTTCTTTTGATGCTGGAGGTTTAAGCAGACATCCGGCACTACTAATCATTTGATTGTAATAATAGTTATAACTGCAATTACTGAACAGATCAGTGACAGAGTGGAGGGCAGCCATGATACACTGCCTACGTGGACAATGACAGTACTTCTCATCATGGAACATGCCGAGATTATGACCCAATTCATGAGCAAAAATAATGGCAAATGAGTACAACCAATCATCCACGAAAGAAAGAACGGCTGAGCCATAACCAGGAGAACACACTGCTCCTACAAATGCTAACCCAAGGGTAATGCCAAAGTCTTGATATGCCAGTAAGTGACCTGCATCGTTGGGCAGCCGCGGAGACAGATTCTGTGCTCTCCAGGAGTTAAAATCGCCAAGCAACCCATTTATGTTACTAGTAATGTTGACAAAGTTGTTTTGCGTCCAGATCTCCAGCCCTATCAGGAACAACCGAAGGCTCATGGGATGGTAGAGCGAGTCTCCTATGTTGACTATGTCCAGCGCTTGCTGCAGGACTATGGTTTCGTTGCTGCCTGAGCGGACGAAGCGCTCTTTCGCCACCACTAAGGCGACCTTGGCGTAGCGGGTGTGTGTCCACCAGTCACCCTGGGGCAGTTGCTTGGCCCACAGGTCCCGCAAGCCAGGGACGAAGGCTGCCTGGCGCTGCAGCTCCTGCTCGGTCAGGGCGCAGCGCAGGCGGGAGGCCCCCTCCTTCACCCGGTACAGCACGTGCTGGAAGGTGGCGGAGTCCGGCACGGGCTCGATCTCGTAGCTGCCCCTCGCCGTCCGCAGCACGCCGCGCAGCCCGCCCGAGCAGGTGCTGAGGGCGGCCAGCGAGGCGGGGCTGCCCTGCACGTAGCCGTGGTAGAAGCAGTCGCGGCGCACGAAGGGCTGGTCCCGCTGCAGGGCCCCGCCCGGCCCGTAGGTGAAGAGGGAG